TTTAAATTGATCATAATTAACCCAATAAACCCATAACTTGAATCATAAATCTAATTAAATTTAATAATATTTATTTGAAATATATTTTTTATTTAATTATATAACAATAAAATAGATTTATGTAGAAAAACAACATAATAAAATTTTGAAAACAAATCATGAGGGGATGTATAAAAATAGTTCTTGCTATCATTATAAAGAGAATGATATAATCTTATTAAAAATTAAAGTAAAAATTAAATGGTATTTAATAAAATCATATACCAAATATACTTTTAATTAATATTTTTAATAAAAAAAATTTATAAAAAAAATTAGCACTCTTGACCATTAAAAAGAAGGCCAGGCTAATGTGCATATAAAGTCAAGCTCGTACATTTAGCTTTGTTTTTATTTTAAAAATATGGGTAGATAATACTTTGTACATGTATTTGTTTTGTTAAAAAACAGCATTAAGTCACCCCCTTATTTTATTCCAAGTGCCTAGAAAGTTGAGTCCTAACTCCTTGACCTAAAAATCTTTTTTTATTTTAATTTTTTTTACCTCCAAATTTCTAAGAAATACCTCAAAAAACTTCAATAAACTCATATTTAACGTTGTAATAATTTTCAATAAATAAAAAATCAATGTAAATAAAAAAAATTATCCACTCTCAATTATTTTTTTTAGCAAAATATAAAATATGAGATAAAAAACATTTGATAAAACTCTTTTAATAAAGTGGATATTATTGACATTAAGATAATCTTTTATGATTGTCGGAATGTGGACAGCAAACAACTTTTGATCTTCTATCTTATATTTTACCGGCTTTCTCTTCTCAGGGGATCTAGAAATTAAAATATAAAACAAATAAATTATAGGATTGAAATGTAAAAACCTAAATAAATAAAGATAAAAAGTAAAATAAAAACTTTGAGGACAACCTCATGAAACAATAAGAAAATACAAAAGGCTGAATTTTTGTTTTAATGTCAAATCTAGTTCTTTAAGTTTCAATTTGTTTTTAATAATAAAACTAAACTCTATCTTGTTAAATCATTAATTTAGAGTTGGGATTTTTTTTACACATGAGTAGCTCTCAACAAGCTAATTGAAACAAACCATCCACTTTAATTTCTAGTTAACACAATATAAACAAACTATCTTCTTTAATTGAAATTAAAAATTACTTTGAAAAAACTGTTGTTTTCAATCCATCTATAAGTGGATATACAACGTTCTTCCCACAAAAATTACATTTCTTCTTAATGTTGCATTTATATACAGAATCAACTGTCTCCTCCTTTGAATGTCTGCAGTTCCCCTTCCAATCCTTATATTTCTCCTTTTTTTAATTAAAATAAACCTTTAAAAAATGAAGAAGCGTTAATTATCTTTTGTAGTTTTTGTTTCTGGTGGTGTTTGCTTTAAAAAAAATATATTCTGTTGGAAGAAATAATATTTTTATTTTATTTTTAGTATACATCAATGATCACTAGAAATTTTGCCAATTTTTTCTTTTATTCAACCCCTAAATATTATTGCCGTCATCTAGCCACCATGATAAACTGTGTCCTCGTTACCGATGTAATTGCTAATCCATCCACTATTAATCATAACCATAGGCGGATCTATATATGAGGCTTGGGCGTGCTGGATCGCAGGTTAAAATTTTATAAATATTTTTTTTTTGCTGTAAGTTATATTTAACTACATTAATTAAAAAAATACACTTCATTCATAAAATTAGTTATTTTTTCTTAAAATCTCTATTTTTTAAGTTAAAAGAGTCAAAGTTGAAAAATATATCTACCTCGTGCTAGATTATTTATGTCTAGTTTGAGAACATGATGCAATTTATATTCTTAATTTTTTTTTGATTTTTTATTAAAAATAATTTTTTTATATTTTTAGATTATTTTGGTATGCTGATATTAAAAATAATTTTTTAAGTTTAAAAAAAATACTTTGATATATTTTTAAGTAAAAAATATTTTAAACCGCCAACATTACCATAATTTCAAATAAATCCTTATTATTTCTTTAAAGATGTATTATTTAATATCTTAATTAGAATTTTATCAAATTGATGTGATTCATTATAAGAATTTTTAGAATATATTTATTATTTTCAAATTATATTCAGGATTAATAAAGACAAACAAGTCGCAATACAATTATTTAATTAACAAGTTGATTTATTTTATTTGAACTTTATATGTTTTCATTGCCATAAAAAAATGAAGTATTTTTAGCTATAAAATATATTAAAAATATGTTTTATAATAAAATAAAAAAGAAATTTCTAACATATTTTATGATAATTTACATTATATAAAAGTTTATTAAAAATATCATTTTAGGTTTGATTATAGATAAATTTTATTCAATAAAACATTGAAGAATGTAATTTTAATAATATATTTTTTTTTACTTTCGGTTTAATTTTATGTACTTTTAAATTTATTTTTTAATATTTTAAATAATATATTTAGATTAAAATTTTATTATTAATTTTATAAATTCATATTCATGAATTAATAATTAATTTAAAATATATATATATATATATTTATTTAGCTGCCAGGATAGAAAAAATTTCTGACTCAAACTCCTAACTATTTTCAGCATTACTCTGTCATTTCTTCTACCACAACAATAACTATCTCTACCTTATCATCAATGTGATCTCGATAACAACCATCATTTTATCATCATGATCATGAACATGATCATCATCACTTTTCTTCTATCACCATCCCCAAAAAACCCATCATACGACCACATTAAGATCCTCCATGATGCCGCCACCACATGATTGTTATCCCCATTTCCACCACCACCATCCATACCTTCAATGCCACTAGTTTTTCCACCATCATTTTTATATATTACCATCTTCGGTTTATTCAGACGATGGATGAAAATTGAATCATTCTTGAAGTATTAATTTGTAGACTTGATTAAGGAGAAGCTTTTTAATATAATGTAACGAAACATACTTTATGCTAATATTACAAATTCAATATCATATTTTTTATTCGGAATTTAGGATAATATGTATTGTATTTTTTTCTTTTGGGTTTGATGATTAGGCATATCTTTTGGCTCGTTTGCACGTCAAATGAGACTAAATCTTCCCACCAGATAATCTTAAAGTGCATCCTCCATACTATTTACTTATTTATTTTGTCTTTTATGTTAAACAACATAAACTGGTTCGGCCATTTGATATTTCTATTTATTTATTAGATTAATAAATCATTTAGATCATTCATTCTTTCAATCACTCATATATTTATTTTTTTCTTAAATGTAGTCCATTGATATAACAAAGTGATTCGATAAGACCAGAAAATTTTCTGATTCTATATACTTAATTATTGGATTACAACAAATAATTATAGATATATTTTTACATTTTTAGGGGAGCAAACGGCTCATCTATGTGTTAATATTTGTTCATGCCTTTATAACAAAGCTATAAACATACACTTTGCTGCGTTGAGGTTGTTTTTGAACGCATAGTGATTATACACATGTATTTGAATTCATTCACTAATTTCTAATTTTACCATAATAGATCGTCCTCTTTAATAAATATTCTTTATCTCCTCCACTAAATATTTAGGATGATGTTATTCCCATTTTAGAGTTTGTTAACCTCGCTCCAAAATAAGACCTTAGTATTTAGAAAAAAATATATTAAATTCTTGGAATACACCAAGCCGGTGGAAGGCACATCTTTAAGACCATCTAGAGATAAGACTTGTCTTTAATTAGAGTTTAAGTTAATCCGAAGATACTTGATACTTCTTGTCACCAATTAAAAAAAATCTATTGTTATCACTTAGATCAAAACATTCCCAATTATTTTTTTTTACATTGATGATAATACTATATTTCCCAAATAATTATACTAACCATTAGTGTATTCTTGAAAATATAGCTAAAAGTAGCAAGTTTTCCTTTTTGTAATTAATATGGTCGGGATTTACCCCCCCCCTTTTTTATCATACCTACCACAAACTTTAATTTCAATTTTTTTTTTGTATTTTCAAATATTATCCATCAATAATGTATTTATTTTAAAAAATATAATGGAATAATTAGAATTTAAAGGCTTCAATTTTTAAATATTTCTTGTTTTTAATTTGAATTAATTAGAAAAAAAACATTTTAAAAAAACTGGATATCTTATAATTAACAAGATAGTACTTTATAGTAATTAATTATACAAAATATAAACATAATGTAGTTGACGAATAAAACTTGTAATAAATGTGGAGTGAGATTAATGGCTTATGGAGTGGGAATAAATGATAAATTAACGACATCCCTCCCTCAAACCTAAAAACAAAGTTATAAGGTTTTGTTAAGATGACAAATTATGACAGCTACAGGCAATGAGAAACAGATACTTAATTCCCAACCAGATTCATGTTTCTGGTTTTGTGATTCGATCATAGCTTATAATAAAAATCCAAAGACATCAGCTATAACACATGACATTTCAGAAGCATTTAAGAATATTATAACAAATAAAACCAGCATGGGCAAAGGAAAATTAAGATTTTTGTGTCCTTCCAAGCAATTTGAGGAGATTATAATATAACAGATATTAAACAGATGTGATTTGCAGTAATTTTCTAAAATGTATATTATATTTGCTTGATATTTTAGTAATGATTATTATTTAAAGTATTTTTTATTTGAAAATATATCAAAATAATTTTTATAAAAAATTTATTTTTAATAACAATTAAAATTATCTAAAAATATAAAAAAATATTACATTTTTTCTAAAATATTTTAAAGCTTACTAATATAACACTTTTATGTTCTAACACATTCCCATGATCATGGATAGATAACCCATCTCCAATTTCTAGGAATGTGAAACTTTGTTGTATCTTCTTTCGTGCCTAAGCTAAACTAACAAACGTCACCAATAGAATCACCATTGTCATCAAGAGATCAAAAGAAACTAATGCAGGGACTATAAGCTTCTACTAAATAAAAGAATTTATATAGGATTGAATTTTTTTTTAAAAAAAAGAATAAAGACAAAAAACTGCTCATGAGATCATGTACATTACCTCTAGGTAGAGGTACTTCACTCCAAGAAAATTTGGGTTATTTTAAAATACCCCAAAAAAAAAAAACACAAAAGAAAGAAAGAAATAAATTGTGATTTATTAATTAAGCATTATTTTTCCTGTTTCTCATTTTTCTTCTCTCTTTGTGGCGTTTGCCCCATTTTGTATGGGCCTCGACCATCTGCATTGGGCTTAGCCCTCGTTAGCAAAGAAATACCTCAACACTGGAATTTCTAACATGGAGGCAAAGTGGGCAGGCTTGGACCATTTGGTCACATTCTGTACAGACACAAAGATGCCGACACGGCAGAAGCACAACCGAAGCCATCCGTTTCCGACACGATTTGCAGCTTGGTCGGCCTGGAACGACGGTGACCCGGTCAGGGTCAACATAAGCCGACTCAGCATCCTCAGCCTGGGTCTGGCCTTCTACTCCCCCGGGACATCCTATTCCATCGTCCCCTCTCCTGCTATCTTGCGCCAGTCCCCCATTCATGACAGCCTGCTGCAGTTGGGCCTGCAAGGAAGCTGCTGTTACCTCCTGGGTCCTGACCTTTGCCTGCCAAACCTGTGCATCGATGCTAAGTTGTGTCGCACGTGCTTCTAACTCGGCGTTTCTACGCGTGGCCTTCTCAATTTCCATTTCCTTTTCCCTCAATCTCCTGGCTATTGATTCCTCCGCTGCTCCTAATAGTTCACGGTAGTGCCGCTGTCTTTTCTCCGCTAATGTGCGCCTCAGCTGCTCTCTCTGCATAAAGCGAAATCTTCTCGTTCATTTATGCACAGCCATAAAAAAAAATCTGCCCCATCTGAGAAGAGAGAATTTTGGTACCTGGGCTTGAAGGAATTGATCAATTTCATCTCGTTGTCGTTTGATTTGGATGGAGAAATCTTCTGATGATAACGATAACAGAGCAGAGGATTGACATGCACCGGTGCCAAAATTCTGCTGTTGGTAATGATGATTCTGTTGTTGTTGGTCACCAAAAGATAAACGGAGGCCAGTAGACACGACATTTGGATTTGGTTGAGGCTGATGATGACGATGATTGTGGAGTTGAGAGAGGTCTATTAACTGAGTTGTTGACAGAGGCTGAGGCTGAGGCTGCATACAGAACTGATTGATTGTTGTGGTTGTAGCAGTAGTGCCTGTTGGCGCTGCTCTTCCTCTCTTGCGTTGATTATTGCCACCTGCGTCAAATTTGATGTTATCGGATTTATATTTATATATAAATATAAAAGCTTTGCATGAATTTTCCAATCAATGTTGGTATTCAAAATTAAGAAGAATCCCATTGAAATCAAAGCATCGATTAAGAGGACTGGGCTAATCAGGTACCTCCATTGTTGAGTAGCATAGAGGATTGATCAAGATATCCTCCAGGCTGTGGTTGCAATGAATAATCCTGACCCTCTTGCCCGTTTCTATATACAAAAGGAGGAAATGAAGGAAGGATTAATTAGAGGAAGATTTGGAAATGCAGAGAGAGATTTTAAGGATTTTTTTAAAGCAAGCAAATTACCTGTTTAGGAGGAGGATATTAGAGGGATATTGAGCCTGGACAGCCATTATAGATTATCAATAGATAACAGCAGCGAGATAGGCCAAGGTTGAGACTTGTGAGAGAAATGTATAGGTTGCAGTAAAGCTATAAATATGTGCTTCTGAGCTGGGCGTGAATATGTATAGAAGGTAAAGAAAGGTGTGAGAGAGAGAGAGGTATGGAGCAACTGTGATAAGCAATGAACGCTAGCACATACGAAGCATGAAAAGATGCCCCTCAAGCTAAGGCAGACTCTTCAATGAGAGGAAAACGAAAGGGACCTAAAATTGCACTAGTCCAGCAACAACTAGTTCTCAGAATCGAGAATCGGAAAAAAGAAGGAGAAAGAGAATCAATGAAAGAATCAAGAAATATAATTATGTTATATTGAGGAGAAGAAGAGACCACCACCACCAAAAACTAGAAACCAATACGCACTAGCACTAGCTAGACAATAGTAATCTTCATCATCACTTAAACCCGTTTATCTGCCGATCATCATCATCATCTTTTTCTTGGTTTTGATTTACCTTGTAGTCTATGCTTTGTATTTTCTTCTGGTGTTATATATCTTTCTTTCTTTCCCTACTGTCTCTCTTTAGATACAAGGTGGATGGATGGAAAGAGAGGGAGAGATGCGATTGAAACGAATCAGTCCAAGAGAGAGACACCTTATTCTGCTCTTTCTTTCATTGTTTTGTTGGCCTTGCCTTTGCTTAATTCTCTCCTCATCTTCGCGTGGGGCTGGCTTTTCTTCGAGGGGAGTCCTCTCGTGTTTGTCACCACCAACACCAATACCACTCCTACTTATTTAATTTTATTTGTCCTTCTTTCTACTATTTATATATTTAAACATTTTATTTTCTTTTTTACTTTATTTTTTTCCCACCAGAAAGAAAACAACCTTGATATCTGTAACGTTGTATTTTTACCTTTGTTTTCTAAGAAAAAAGATAGAAAGCTCTTAATAGATGTGTGGAGAGGTTGAGAAAATCAATGGTGTTAGTTAAATGGGATGAGGCGCAGTTGTTGCAAGTTGGGATGGGTGTGTGTCCATCAGCACTCCCCTCGGTTGTTAAAAAATAATAAGGATATTTATTTAATATAGCTATATATACCCAGATATATATATTATTATTCTTTATTCTACATCAAATAATAAATATTATTCAAAAAATTCATATCAATGGATAATATATGTAGAGTATAAACATAAAAAAAAATAATCTGATTTTTAGATATTCATTATCATCTCTAACCTAATTTGTATAGTTGCCTCTATTTTATTTTTATATTTTTATTTTGTTTTAGCCGCATGCTTCTTTAGCTAGCTTCCCCAACAATCGCAATCCCCCCCCCCCCAAAACTATAATATAAAAGAATAAAAGTAGTATTTCCTTATTTTTTATTTCTCTTTTTCCAGGTTTCTCTTTTGATAGGTTTTTTTTTTATTAATGAGAAATCGTAATTTGAAAGTAAAATCCCACGTACCAAAATAATAGAGTTTAATCAGAAATATATATATATATATATATATTTCAAGAAAAGTATACTTGGTTAACTTAACTTTGGGGTTTTTGGTAGTACCAAATTCATGGTTCTAGGTTCAAGGATTTGCTTTGAAATGGAGCACCTCTTTTTTTTCTTCTCCTTGTTGCCTTGTTGTCAACCCAAATCATTTCACTATCTTATCGTCTTTCTATATTGCGCAAATGGAAAAACTAAAGTAATCAAATACAGTGGACCTATTCAGCCATGAACACATCGCTTCGGGATGGGTGGCATGGATCATGGATGTAAACATTGTATTTGGCGTTGTGCATCATTGAAAATTCTATTATCTAACCATTATTTATGGTTTTATTTTCCTGTTTTCATACTTATCTTAGAAAATATAGAAAAGATCACAGTAACCTCCAAACTAATTGCAAGATTGTTGGCTCTTTTTTCTTCTTCTTTTTTCTTTTCAAATGGTTGGTGATTGGTAAGTTTTCTCCTCCCGAGACTACATCAAACAACTATTTTCTAGCCTTTACGTGCCCTGATTTGAGGATGCGAATGAGGAGAGGAGGTTTTCAAAATGTGTACAGATTATGGATAATATAAATCTTCATGAGATTTACAGTTTCTCGAACTAATAATTGAAAAGATAAGAAAAAAAAAAGGGATCACAACTCAACTTCAATGTTTTTTCATCTTTTTATATCAATAAACCGTCGTAGCAAAATCCAAAATCTCAAAGACTCCAATCTTGAAAGGAAATATATTATTTATCCATCTATAAAAAAGGGTTTTTTCCTATAAAAATAGAGCTCTCATTTTATCTTCTGTTTTCATCTATTTGAATAATTACAAAGAGTTTAGATTGAGCGAAATCAAACCTTCAAATATAAAATTATTGCTGGGATTCATAAGCGGGATAGTTGAACTAGCTAGTTTAAACGATGAACATGTTTTTAGAGGATCTTCACTCTTCCTCTTCTCTTTTTTTATCTAGAGGATCTTTAATTAGTTTGCCGCTCCATCTCTTACTTTTCACTGTAAGAATTAATTAAATTGTAAACTATAAAAACATGCAAGTCTTACTCTTCTTGTAACAACTCAAATCTCTTATTTTTCCCTTGTAAAGGTCGTGAAGGGGCATGTAAAATAAAATAAAAATAAAAACAAGAGAAGAAAAAGAAAGAAAGCCGGGGGCAACTGACAAAGAGCATCTATATATATTTTCCAATGACATGAAAGAAAAATATAGAGAGGGGGACATATCGAGGGAGCCACACAAGAAAAAGTTAAGTTCGTAGAGGTGATCTTCCTCAAAACCAAGAATGGGGTGATGAAGAAAGAGGGAAGCCACCAAAAAAGAGAAGGAAAGGAGAGGAAATGTGAAGGAGAGTGCTTCGTCGACTTTGTTTCACATTTGGCCCCACCCCAAGTAAGGGTCGGCTTTGTTACCTCTTCGTCTCGTCTAATCAATTCTCTCCTATCCTAGTAATTCAATCCACCACGGCAATATATTTTTGTGTCCATTAAAACTCTCTAGCGCCCAACTGAGACCCCTTGTTTTTTTCTCCCCATTTAATGCATCCTTTCGTTTTCTTCGCATTCTTTTGTTTGTTCATTCCTTGATCCTGGCTTGTATTGGGCTAAAAATACAATTGACTTGTTTATTTTCCTAGGGTTGCTTGGGCATCAGCGGCAACTCAACATGGCCCTAGTTGGCTCCCAATATAATCCAACAGAACACATAATAAAGTTCAAATATAACCAACCATTCACGAGTTAATTAGGCAGTGTGAATTTGGTGAAGGTAAATGAATTGACCATTTATTTCATGGGGTCATATTATGCATAAAGATTGATTGAATTGAACCTAAAAAAAAGATTATTGAACCATTCACGAGTTATTGATTGATTGATTGAGTCAATAAGAAGCCAAATCTATTGGTCTCCCACCTAGTTTTACTTTATAAAATGAATCAATAATCTTTAGCCTTGGGACAGCCAAGTCCTACATGTATAACTTGGCACAATCCAAACATATTCGCACAATTAGGGCGACTAATTAAGCTGAACACTTGAAGTCTCGAACCGTCTGCTGACAACCCTTCATTCTTATTAAATGGTAATGGTACAATGGTTAGCGCTCATATATATGTGTGTGTGTATATATATATATATATAGCTTTGAGGGTGTATTTGTGTGTGTAAATTAAATTTGAAAAGAACAAAGGAGATATCGAGTCAATGCAGAAGAAGACAAGTCAGCCCAATTAACGATCTAGCACTGTTCAGCTTTAGAATTCTGAGCTGGTACTCACATCTAACATGGTCTTTGAATTATCTTTTGGTTTTGTCTCCTTGAATCTAATGAACTTGTGCTTGGGGCTCAGGCTTGTATTGCTATCTTCATGTCGCGTTGGCTAGATGCGTCGTTCTTACAACTCTGTGTGTGTGTGTGTTTGTTTGTATTATTCTGTTTTAATATTTGTTTTTCAATTTTTCTTCTTTTCCAGAGGTTGACCGACCAATTAAGAAAATTCGCGCACAGTTATTCAATAACCATTCTGCTCAAATAGTTATATAAAACACGTCTACGGGCCTTCAAATTCTCAAATAAAGAAAATTAATGTAACATGATTTATAATCGTTGTTTTTCCTTGTAGCTAAAAATTATATAACAATTTTGAACTATTTAAGGGTACTCTTTATAGCTTTGAAGACAACCGAAGAAAGTAACCACTGAACCAATTAGTTTGGAGGATTTTCAAGTAATCATAGGAGTGTTGATTTGATATTAGAAATTGTTAATTTTTTTTTTGGAAATTAGATGCTATTTTGAGGCATCATCATTTTAAAGATATGTGTCATGGAATCAGGCGCACTTCCTTGGGATGAAGACAACAGCAACTTTACTTTGAGACATTTCTTTAATCCCAATCCAACCATTTCCCATCTTTAAACTCTTAATTTATTTATTTTTATGTTTTTTAAAATATAATTTTTTATTTTTAATTAAAATTTGAAAAATATCCGCTACTATAATATGAAAGAGACTCCCTCCCTTTGATATTTTATCGGTTTCCTTCATTTCTTTCTTTCTTAACCCATAATTTCTCCTGAAATACTTTGTTTGGTTTACATGGCATCATCCTCAATTCACACCTCCACCACTTTCCAACCCACTACCTTTGCTTTTCCTCACGCCAGAAACACTCTCCTAATTAACCATATCCCAGTTTGCAACTCATAAAGTGAAAGCAAACAATTGAGTTTCACATATATATTTAATTTATTAATAAATTATTGTTCTAACAGTTAAAACATTATTATATTTTTACAAAAATAAAAAATATAAATTTAATTTTTATAAAATATATTTATTAAAAGAGACAGTCACACGCGCGCGCGCGCACATATATATAAGTACTTGTGCTAATTTTAAACATTTCCCTAAGTTAGACTCTAATATCACTCACTAATCCTTGTTTAAACAGTGGCCCGCAATAAATGATCCGAGAAATGATCACTTCGGTTATGTTTTAGTTAGTTTTTAAAATTTCTTAATCTCATAAAGTAAAATTCTCGAAAAAGTATATATGGTGTTAGTGCCACTAACCTAGAGCTACATGCCTTATCTCAAATATAAGACCATATTATACAAGATCAAATATTTATTATGTTATCTTGCCCTTCATGGACATAATGTGAACAAATAACATGGGGGGAGGGAATGGATAATTATTTATGTTCATTTGTTATATTAGAGTGCCATTTCTTAAATCAGTAGAGGCCTCGGTGGCTATATATGTACATAATTAAAAAAACAGTTCGGTCAATGGTCAGTATCTGAAAACCAACCCAATATATAATAACACGTTAATACCCCCAACAGAAAATAACATGTTTTGTAAAATTTTTTTGGGAATGAGACAGATAAAAAGTTGATATAGAGATGTTAAAATATTATTTTTAAAGTGTTTATTTTTTTTAGATATAATTAAGCTCTTTAAATTAAAAAAAAAACAAAAAACAAAAAAATATGTTATTTATATATATAATTTTTCTCTATGTCGGGGCAAGTTTATGCATACCTTGAACATTATAGTTATTAATATAAAATATATAATTGTTAATGAAATAATTATATTTGTTGTTATTAGGTTTTATACTAATATTGTAAATATCAAAATTAATTAAAAAATTAAAAGAAATAAACTCTGAAGGCTATCTTTTTAATTTTATAAATATTTATATAATAAGACTAAACAAAAAAAACTCATCTATCATTACTTTCATTTAAGTTAATAC